GGGGGGGGGGGGGGGGGTATTAATTTGTTGTAAATGGGCTAAGGGGGTGTAAAGGGGGGTGCCTTAGTGTGATTTTGTTTGTCTCTTTTTTATCTCCGATTCGGTGAGGAATTCTGATGTGACTCTCAGCCAAAAGTTGTTTGTATTGCAATTCTACACAACGATTTTTTTTTTCTGGAAGTTTTTTACTTTTATTTTTTTATTTTTTTTATTTTTTTTCTGGCGCTGGGGTTGCCCCGAGGTCATGCCCGGCCGGGCCCCCGGGCGTGCATCTGGGCAGAATTTGGGTGCTCGGGTGCCCAGAAAAACAACCTAGAAACAAACATTTTTTGCTCGAGAGTATTGTTAAAATTTGCTACCAAATTTTGATGGGGAAGAAAACAGAGTAAAATGGTTTTATCTAGGTAGCGTTGGTTATCTGGTCGGATTATCTGTCCGGATGATCGGGGGGGTAGGATCATCCGGAAATCCGGATGATGAACAAACAGGCCAAAAAAAAAGGAAAAAAGTGATATTGCGCATGTAAAATACAATGGAACTACGCTCCTATTTCATGAAAAGCTTGATACGGTATCGAAGGGTTCAAAGGGGGTAAGATAGGGAGTAAAGAGGTTTAGAGGGGGGATGCTTAATTCATTCTATAATGTTTTATGTAAATATTATTTTTTTCTTTTTTATTTTTTATCTTCATATCTGTTGAGATGTCAAAGATGATCTCAAGCCAAACGTTATTCGTAACATTCATATGAACAACATACTTTGTTTCCAGATTTTTTTGTTTTTTTTGGTAAAAAACAACTTTGTTTCCAGATTTTTTTGTTTTTTTTGGTAAAAAACAATGTTTTGTGCAGGGCTGGATTTTAACATTTATATGAACAACGAACTTTGTTTCCAGATTTTTTTGATTCTTTTGGTAAAAAAAAATGTTTTGTGCAGGGCTGGATTTTCCATATCGAGAATTAATCCGGGAAATTCATCCGGATTGGAAATTCCGGATAAAATTGGTCTGCTGGATATCTGGATTTGCTACCTAGGTGTATATATATATATATATATCGTAGTATATGTATTTTTTTTTCCCACCATCAGCAATATATATTTCCAATCAAAGAGATGAGGTCGGGGTCGTCTCATATTTTTCAGGGACGCCCTCTTATAATTCAGAATTCCAATACAATGTATGTACATTGTGTTCAAAGACAACATACCCCGTAAACGGTTGCCCTAGAAAAGGTCCACCTCAAAATCCGTTGCACAACATACGCAGGCTGTATTCAAATACAACGTAGCCTCTACATTGTATTCGAAAGCAACGTATGTTTTTAAAGGGTAAGAAGGTACGCATTGCAATACTTGTGAATATAGCAACTATGGTAGCTTACATGATAAGTGGACACGAGAGAGAGAGAGAGAGAGAAGAGAGAGAGAGAGAGAGAGAGAGAGAGAGAGAGAGAGAGAGTGGAATAAATGGAAAGAAAAAGTTATAAAGCAAAAGGGAGTACCTTGGACAAATGCAACGTGTTAAAAGTTACCGGCATCGCAGTGGCTGACATGTTGGTCAAGCTCTGGGAGAAGCCGACTCCTTTGGCCTGTACGTTTGTCTGTTGAAAGTTTGTTCGAAAGAGATGTACGAAAAAAAAGAAAACGAATAGAAATCTGTCAGAACAAATCTTGGGAAGAAAAAAAAAAGTGGATGAGAGCCTTTAAATCACCAGGGCTTGACATGCTCACATGTAAATTCATTTATGAGCGAAGTTTCATTCATCATATCCCAATATATAATTTGAACTCAGGACTGTTTCACGAAGAGAACGTTTTTAGTATGCTCTGGATGTTATTGCAGTCAGGTTCATCCAATTCTGGTTGTAATTGTGGTTAGACATAAGTTCGAAAGTGTTGTATTTAGACCTAAATATAGTCCACATACAACTTTAATGACCGTGCGTTGCACTTCGGCGAAGAAGGTAGAATGAAAGTACCCTTGGGTCTGTTTATCAACTGTTTGTGGGTCTACTAGTAAGTGACATGGGCTACTGTTAGAAGCAGACACTTGTTTAATATGGGGAAACAAATAAAAATAAAAAAGGAATACTTGTTTTTGTTGTTTTTTTATTTTTCACTTTTTTTTTTTAACCACTAGTGCTTTTTCCAGCTAGGTCATACTCGAGCGCGATGGTTCCTCATGAATGGCGCAGGGAGGCCCGTACATGTCAAATTTTTTATTTTTTTTTGTCAAAGGCAACGGATTTGACATGTCATGATTAACTTGGCCAGGCCCAAATAATTCGTAATTTATTTTATTCAGTTCGTATGAGTGCATCTGCATTCGGTCTCAGGGGGAAGGTCCCACTTGCAAAGAGGATTGGATTGAATGGCTGAATTTGGGCGTACGTTTTTATATATATATTATATATATATATATAGTGGCGTGGGACCACTTGCTCAACTGGGCCTTTTAACTTTATTTTTCATTTTTTATTTGGTAAAAAAATTCGATGTGATCCTAAGGCAAACGTTTTTCAGTTTATTGTTTTGCATGACAAATGTTTTGTTTTTTTTTTCTGATTTTTATTTGTTTTCTTGGGGGGGGGTTGGGACCTACTTTGGCCCTTGCACTACTTTTCTGGGCATGAACTGCTTTTCTGCATCTCTGCGTAGAACGCATCCAGATTCAGGTCCTTAATCCGACCCACTCTGCAAGTGGGACCTCACTCTAGGTCTGTATTTCAGCATTTCATGGCTATGAATCTACCCTCATTATGACTGGGGGCCTTTCTGGGATTGGCAGTTGAGACCCCAACTTGGTAGTGGTCGCTGGCGGGCCCGAGAAAGTTCCGGGCGCATCCTGCAGGAATTTAAAAAAATCAAAAAATAAGTAAACAAATAAAAATATGGGGTTGTAGGTCTTTTTGCTGTCTACAATCTTATTTCTTTCCCTCTAATTTGACTTGTTTTTCGATTAAAAAAATAATAAAAAGCAAATCACTGGATGCAAAAGTTGTTAAGTTTAATTTTTTCGTAAGACAAACAAAGTTTTTTTTTTTTTTTTTTTGAACGTCTTTTCAATTTTTGTAAGTAATTTTGATGCGACCCTAAGGGAAAAGCTGTCCTGTTTACTTTTTTGCATACATGTGTTTTTCAGATTTTATCTAGGCTACCAGCCGGGCCGCCCGGGTGCAAAGACTGGGGAAGGTCACAACCAAAAAAAAATAAACTAAAAAAATCAAAGAACTAAAAAAAAAAACCATGTTATGCAGAAACATAAACTGAATAACTTTTGCCTAAGGGTCACATCGAAATTGTTTACCAAATTTTATTAAATTATTTATTTATTTTTTTTTATTTTTTTTTTGCTTTTGGCCCAGCCGGGCAAGGAACCCGAGCTACTTTGGTAACCTACGATTTTATCGAAAATGTGTTTTTTTCTCATGATCGGTACCTTGGTCATGAGTGGGACCCTCCGACCATGATTGGGGACAGAGATCACCATCGACACAATCGCTAGTGAAGGGGATTCATAGGTTCATGGGTGTAGCAACTGAGCTAGGTCCGTTGGTGAGAACAATTGTTTTATCAATCCATTAAAAGTTGACAACGCACACAATATGAAGTCTGTGTTTGTCGGCTTCACCCAAATGCAACGTCCGGTCATTATACTGGATATGGGATATCTTACAGTGTAAAATATTGCGCCAATGATCGTACGTAGTATCAGGTCAAAGAAGACAAGTAACACCCTTGTTGTTTTCATCTTTGCAAAAATCACTCTATGCCTTTGAATTGCTACCCTCTATTATCATACATACTTGCGTGGAGGTTGACTGTCATGTCGGCGGGTCTCCCTTTTCCCTTGTCGCTTGAAACCATGTGCGTGCCTCTAAAATAATTGTTCATTAACTTTGTGGAGAGGACCTTGACGTTTGCTACTTATATTCATTGAGGTTGAGTGTGTGTGCACAAACAGGAGAGAGAGAGAGAGAGAGAGAGAGAGAGAGAGAGAGAGAGAACGAGAGAGGAGTTATATTCATTAGGTCAGGTACCTGTCATGCAATATTCCAAGAATGTATGTTAGACCGCTAGTGCATGGTCCAACCGTTTTTGCCCGACTTGGTTGATAACCCCACTCAAGTCGAGAGTCATGGCCTACTGGAGCAAAACGGTTGGCCATGCTAACCAAAATGAGGTCGTCGCCGGTTTGTGTTTTTTTGGCGTGCAAGGCATTCCTAGGGTGTGAAAAAAAGTTAGTCGAAATTACATTTGGTTTGATTTTTTTATTTATTGATTGAATAACTCAATGATTATGAATGTATGAAGGCGTTCCCGAATTTTCTTGGTAGAGGGAACTACTTTATAATGCGTAGCTGAGGGTATGGTTTGATTGCCACTCTTTCACACTGCTAGTCCTTTCGTTTTTTTGTTTGCATGTGGGCAGACTTGTACTAGGTGTCTTAGCACATGAGTAGAAGATTGTAATAGGATTGGGTACCATTTTTGGCGGTGCACACTGAGCTCGAGTTAAGTTCAAGAGATGGTTGAAATGAAAAGATCCATTGGAAAAAAAAAGGGGTAAGTGAGGGGTAAGTAAGGGGTAAAAAGGGAAGAGGGGCGGTGAGAAAGGAAAAAAAGATGAAAAATGAAATTTGGGAAAGGAAAAAAACTCAGTGGAAGTAGTACTTACTGAGTGAACCTGTAGTGTGTATATAGTCAGGATTGCTGCTAGGCTTAGGTTGAAATGACCACCCAGGATGTCCCACTTCTGCTTGAGCAAACAAACAGAAAAGAAGGAAAAATACACATATGAATGGTAAATATGAATTACACCGTTAAGCTGTGAATGTTCCACAACTTGTTTTAGTTGCTTGAACTTGTAAGGATAAATAAAATTCTCCATTTCTTACTCGTTTCATTGTCCTCTTTGTCCTCATCCTCACGGATGTCATTTTCTTAGTACCCTTTGATCCTCCTCCTTATCCAAATTATCGCCCTTCTCAACCGCATCCTCCATATACTCTGATATATGACTTGCCCGATTCTAGAGCAATGTAGTCTGTTTGTTTTTTTTAATGGAATGTAAAACTTCAATTCAGTTTCTATTCCTATTTTATGCTCCACAAAACAACAAATCTAGCCGAAGTATCCATGAGTAGATGAATCCCGAGTGGTTAAACAAGTAATTAAAAAAATGTCAAAAAAAAAAAGATGTGCATATCAAATTTAAAAATTATATCCTTGTAGGGTCATTAAGGGTTCAAAAAGAGCTATAAATTGAAAATAAAGGGTGTTGGATGCCGCTTGATTTATTATAAACAAATAAAAAAATAAGTAAATAAATATAGGTAACCAGCGTTCAAGACGGGATGAATACCCTAACACCTAAACGTACGGGATCTCTTAGGGATGCGTTCTACCGTTTAGGCAGAACGCGGATTAAAAAAAAAAAAAAAAAAAAATGTTATGAAGAAAAAGAAACTAAACAACATTTATTGAAACAGTACATCCAAATTCCTTACCAAATTCCAAATAAAAATAAAATACGAAAAAGCAAACATAATAAACATAAGAAAAAAATGAAAAGAAAATTAAAATTAGTGAGTGAGCGAGCACGTTTTTAAATCCTCCATCTTCGGCAATTTTTGTTTGGCTTAGGCAAACGCCTCATAAATTTACACATGTGTACTTCACATAATACAAAACTCATTAAAAAAATTTTACAAAATAAAAAACAAAAAGAAAATAAAAATTAAAAAGTGAAAAAAAAAGAAAAAAAGTGAGCGAGCACGTTTTGACACTGTCATCTTTGACAATTTCTTATTTTTCTTAGGCTTAGCAAAATGACTTCAAAATTTAAAGGCATGTATTGAGCATCATAGAAAACTCACAAAACAACATTCAGGAAAAAAACATATGTTTAGACCCCAAAATAATATTTAGCGGGGGTCAAACGCCTTCGGGTGCGGATCCTGAACGGGTCCCCGAACGCCTGTTTGTACGTAGGTCGGCCCAGGGACCCATGTACGTACGGGTTGGAGACCCTATATACATATAGTTGTATTTCATATCTTTAATTCGACATGGAAATTAAAGTTGATATTCCACCAAAAATTATTGACACTCTTAATATCTACCTGGCAGTGAGGCTTTTGTGTTTTTTTAATAACAGTATAAATATCCGGTCGAGTAATTTATTTTGTGCAGAGTAAGTATAATCCATCTGATTTCCTCCGCCATGTTAATGAAACATGCTGCCTTGATTTTTTATTGTCTTGCCTAAATTTTAATTGAATTGCATTTAAGTTAATCAAAATTGAAATACTGAAAGTTGATTTTACAATGTAAAACGTGATTGCAACCGATTATTTAGACAATCATGATTACTACCATACGACATTGTCAGTGCAAAAAGTTATGTGCTGGTTCGTTCGTAAAAGAATACTTCATAGGATAAACATAGAACTGAATTAATAAATAGAGAGATTAAGAGATCAAACAATAGAGGGATGAACGGATGATGGATAAATGGAGAAATGATAAGCAATCAAGTAGTTAAGCAAGTAAGTAGATAAACGGAAAAAAAAAACAACGGATGGATGTAAGAATACAAATATGTAAACAAATATTATAACAATTATATTTGGTTTATTGATATTTCAATAGTTTGATGCTACATTATTGCATCAACTGACTTATATAATTGATATTTCATTTATCATTGATGTTAAATCTTGTATGAATTAATCGTGTAGAAATGATATTGCAAGAAGGTTGTAATTAACATATATAACGTAAATTGATAAAATCTGTGTATTTTTGTTTTCAACCCATTGACTTGAATATGAAAAGTAACTGTAACCAAACTAACTGCACTTAATATAAGAATAAATTCAACGTTTTTAGAGTTTAACAATCCGTGTATGAGGAACTAGAATCTTTGCACTCTTTATGCATTAGCAACAGGTTACGAACTATATTTGTACAATAGGATGCTGAAAAATATTGACCTAGTTTGTAGTCATACATACTTTGTTTTTAGTCTTCAACAGTTTGGGGGTCTAGCAATCCGTGTATGAGGAATTAAAATCTTTGCATTCTTTATGCATCAGCAATATGTTACAAATGATATTTGTACAATAGAATGCAAAAAAACATTGACGTAGTTTATAGTTTATACATACTTTGTTTTAGTCATTATGTCGTTTACAAAATTATACATAAAACTCTCATAATATTGTAGTGTTAGAGATTTAAAAGTCATACCAAATAGTGTTTTCACCCTTTGGACTCCATGAAATGAACAAATATGTGGTTTTGCATCTATTATCGCTTTTTCATTCGTCTAAAAAACCACCGACCTCCCTTGAAAATAACAAATGCTCTATAAGATTACACTGAACTTTATATATAACATGTATACGTTTACAATAAGGGGGCAAGATTGAGAGTCTTAAAATTATATGAGCAATCTGGTGGTGAAGTCCAATTGACTTAGCAAGATCAGGAACATGCGACCGACCGATTGAGTGGCCAAATGATTGACCAACCAAATAACTGATTGATTGACTGATTTCCCAATTGATCGACAAACAAAGAATCAAATGAACTGATGCATCAATCATGTAGCCAACCGATTATGAGATTAACCGATCAACCAAACAATGAATCAATAAAGCGAACAAGTGACTGACTAATTTACCAAATGACTAATGTGCTGGTTGATTGATTGACTAATTGATAAACGGATTGGTCGATTGTTAAAAATACATGTATATTAAGAAATAGATTGACAAGATGAATGATAGTTGATTGATGATTGATTGATAGTCTGGTCGATAAGTAAAGTGATTGATAGGTTGCTAACTAAATTGATATATAATATGGTGACTACATGAATAGGTGAATTGAATGACGGATCGATAAATCGATTGATTGATAGGTGAATGAATGAATACGTCGGTGGATGGAGATAGATAAATGGATATGAATGGGTTGAATCGAATTGCCATCATGGATGGGAAGGGAATATTGCAGCTGACATATGTGATTGCAAAGGATAAGGATCTTGAGAAACGAAGGCGTATTGTCCCTACTTTCTCTAACCCAACTAAATCCATGCTTGGTTACCTAAGTAGAGAAATGCATTTTCTTATAAAAAATCTGAAAGAAGAGATTTCAACTTACCAACTACTAGCGCTCTAAAATCTTGAATTGGGATGATTAATGAAGAAGTGCACAATGAATATGGGATGGATGAACGCATCATGCTTAGAACATATGACATAAAAAAAAATATTTACAAAACTACCACATGAAAAAATTAAAACTATTGTTTTTCGGTCGGTTGATGCTTTTTATAAAAGAGGCATCCGAAGGGTTAGAATAAAAACGAGGGGGAGAAGGTTACTTTCAGGAAATCTCACAGAGAGGAAGGTTGGCGCTCAATTCAACTTTCTTATCTCCTATCAATGGTCGACTTCCAACTATGCCACATATGTTTTCGAGCCGAATGAGAGATTATGAGATTAAAAATTAGGATTCCTATGGGTGGGAAAGCCAGTCCTGCCTTAGCCTGTATTTTATGTATATTTTTTAATCCCGTTTTTTTAAATCAGTGGGCCGAGACACTAAGCTGGTTCAAGGATACCATTTTATGGGCGACCTCCTACTACCCCATTGGTTTAATGGTTCGATACCAAATAACGAAACCAAGGCTCGTGAAAGGTTGGACAAGATCCAGGGCTGCTACCAACAGGATCTCGCCTTGAAAAGGACCGATACAGGCAATGAAATAGTCTCTTCCCTCGAGACTAATCTTATTGTTGTGGAATTTTCTGCATGGGTACACATGACTCACAAGTTTAAGAATTTGGGCCTAATTTGGGAAGGGGGCATGAGACACTTCAAAACGATAAAGGATTATAGATCTTTCTGGGATAAAAGTCAAAAATGGGTTGTAGTGGCATGCACGATCTAGAAGATAAAATAAAATGCGAATACAAGGTGCGTTGCCTGGTTAAGCCTGATTACATTCTGTAGGGAGATCAGAATGTCGGGTATCTAACGAAGGCGTTTACTACAGGAGTTTCCGAAGTGGGAAGGAGAAGCGGAGATTACTGGGAGGAGTTGGCACACCAGCTAGCAAAATGGTATGACACCGACTGACCAAAGGTCAAGACTAGGGTCTGAGGAATATTAGGCTAACACCGTCCTCGCCAAACGGCTACGGACGATAAGGAAAACAAAAGGGTACAACGTAGATCGAGATGCCACAACCGAAAAACGGTAATAAAGAAAATGCACGTCGAACAACATTCAAGAAAAGTGACGGCGACAATACCCAAATAACTTACTACGAAGCAGCAGGGCCTCATCATATCACCTACGGATAATTGTTTGTCCGTTTTCTATTGTTCGAGTGTTTTTATTTTTTTGTTTTTTATTTATTTTTAATTTTTTTACTGCTTGAAACATGCACTTTGTGAAAACTGGACCGAAACGAAAGTCCATTTTGCCAAATTATGCTATACGTTTTTCCGTAAACTAGTTTTGAGCACAAGATTTAGACCTCAGGTTTACGTGCCACAACAAGACAAGAAAAAATTGTTTTTTTAGAAAACACAGTTAGCCCTGCGATCCATGTCTCATAACAACATATTAAAAAAACAGGTTTTTTTCCAAACTGAAGGTATCCAAAGAAGCCACTCTGGTAGCCTAGTGTCGCGCCCAAGTGCCTCTCGGAGGCAATTCCCAAATGGAATCGATTCCGTAATCGATTCCATTTGGGAATCGCCTCCGAGAGCCACCTTGGCGCAACTCACTGTCGCCCCTAGGTGCTTCTAAGAGGCGATTCCAAAATGGAATCGATTACGTAATCGATTCCATTTCGGAATCGCCTCCCAGAGGCACCTGGGCGGAGGAGTGCGGAGGAGCGGAGGAGGGGGGAGGGGCAGCGGAGGGG